AAGAAAATATTACATCATGAGTCTTGATGCAAAAAACACATGAGACTCATAGAGTCTGTGCTCCCTCATTAAAAAAAATAAAATAATCTGATACATTTTTGCATTAAAACTTCAGATGTAATATTTTTTTGTTTGCAACGACACATCTCACCATGTAAATACCATATTCAACGATAACAAAACCACCCAAACCGTCAAGCCATTAACAACAAGAAAAAAAAATACAATACAAACTGCCTAACTAAAGCAATTACGGCACAAACAATTCAAAAAAAGAAAAAGTTCCAACCTTTTTTCATCACCCATTGTGGGCACTCGTGTATCTTCTCCCAAAGACCCCACTAAAAAACCAAAACAGCTATTCAAAGAGTGTTTTTGGAGATAACCTCCCCGAACTTCACAAACCATGGCCCGTCAGAGGAGCTGCTGTATTGATGGTGGTGATGATCACTTTCATTCCTCCGAGACATCTTCTCATCGCCGGCCATGATTCTAGCATAATCGTTAGTTTTCCGAGGCGGGGAACCAGACTTCAAACTCTGTGCGGGCATCAGGGAGACCAGAACCCGAGAGACCTCGTGCATGGTGGGGCGCTCCGACGGGTGCCTCTTCGTGCAAAGCAGTGCCAGCTGAAATGCCTTCCTCACAAGATTGAGATCCATGCATGTTACTGAAACCTCCGAGTCGACCGCCTCCATTACCGTGTTGTCATCAGCTCTTGAAAGTATCTGTAAAGATAGAAGAACAAAAAGCAATCAAATTTGTTGGCCGCTTTAAACTTGTAATGAGAATAAGGGGACACCAACCAGCTGGTGGAGGTTGGACTCATTGTCGACGGCCTTCTTTCCCGTCAGAAGCTCGAGGAGAACGATGCCGAAGCTGTAGACATCAGACTTCTCTGTAAGTCTCGAGGTTCGAGCGTACTCCGGATCGATGTAACCAATGGTGCCCAGCACATATGTCGATGCGTGAGTTTTAGCAGAAGGGATGCACTTCGCGATGCCGAAATCAGAAAGGTGAGCTTCGAAATTCTCGTCGAGGAGTATGTTGGACGATTTGACATCTCGGTGAATGATTCGTGGGTTGCAGTCGTGATGAAGGTAGGCTAAACCCTGTGCAGCACCGACCGATATCTTCAGGCGTGTGTCCCAATCGAGCTTCACCTTCTTCGAAGGGCCTGCAAAAGAAGAACAAGGATCAAAATCAATTTTTTTTGTTGAAAAGGATTGATTTTTGGATGGTTAAAATAACAACAGACCGTGAAGCAGATCCCACAGAGAGCCATTTTGCATGTAATCGTAGAAGAGAAGATTGCCATGAGGGGAGAGGGAGTATCCGTGCAGGCTTACAAGGTTTCGATGCCTGATACTGCCGATGGTGGACAACTCCGTTTCGAATTCGCGGAGGTTATGAGGGTACTGGCTATATAACCTTTTGATAGCTATGGCTCTCGAGTTCTTTAGAACACATTTATACACTGTGCTTGAGGCGCCATAACCGATTATGTATTGCTCGCTAAGGTTTTCTGTAATTCTCATGATTTCTTCGTATGTATGGATAGCCAGGTCCATCTGAAGAACAACAAGCTTTGGAGGACCTGTGTGGGAGAAAATAGTTTCATTACAGAACATGAAGCAATTAAGAACTGTGCAACGAAATGGTTTCAGATTCTTCATTGGATACCTTGTGCAGTTCTACAAGGAAAAGGTTTCAGCTTGGGTTGGTTGGACCTGTAGATTGCTACCAAGAGCATCAAAATCAGGGCGATGAAGCCCAAGGTAATACAAACGACTGCAGCCAGAGAGATCGAAACTGCATAAAGAGTAGTTCCAATTGAAGAAGATCATTAGAAGAAGTTCCCAAGTTGTATAAAAGATAGGTTTTTGAATTTCGCTTACTTCGGGATGCATGGCCATCTAGAGAACAGGAAGATCCAGGCCAGTTTCCACATAGCAAGGTATTCCCCAAAAAACTAAATGATATGCATAAAGATTAAGCATTTTGTTACTTTTAGAAGGTTCGAGCTAATAAAGAGAAATTCTTTGAATACCTTTCGGAAGGGAACCTTGAAAAGTTCTTTGCGGCTGGAATGTAACCTGATAAGTTGTTGAAGGAAAGATCCCTGAACACGTATAGAGAGCATAAGAAGAGAAAACATACTAAATTATATAATAGAGAAAAAATGTCATAATGGTCCCCTTCTTTTTTACATGGGCAATTTTAGTCCTAGAGTCTATAAAAATATTAATTTAGTCAATAAAAATGTATATAATTTTAGTCCTACACTTTTTTAAAAAGGGCTAAAATAGTTTAGCCAATTATAAAAGATTTTAGAGACTAATTTGATATTTTATAGATTCTGGGACTAAAATGGCGGCATGTAAATAGCCAAGGGACTATTTTTGACATTTTGCACTTCTATAACAAAACTGGAATAAAAGGGAAAACTAACATACAATGTAGTTAGGCTGAAGCAATTGGTAAGTTGAGATGGTATTCCTCCATGAATATTGTTGTCGTTTAAGATCCTAAAACGTCATTATTAGAACATGTATTTTAACAGTAAAATAACTAGTTCCCTTGAGGTTAAGAACAATAAAGAAGAGAAAATAGCGAAAAATGACTCACAAAGCGTTAATGTTCTGCAACTGACCGAGTTCTTCAGGAATGAAACCAGAAAGCTTGTTGTAGGATAGATCGCTGCAAAATGTCAATAAATATGCAATTTTAAGATGCCAGTACAGCTAAGAAATTAAACCTTTCCCCATTAAAACTGAATCACTTACATTACTTGCACACTTCTTAGATTCCCAAACTCATTAGGGACAGGACCATCAAGGTTATTTCTACTCAAATTTCTGTGGTATTAAAAAAATGACCAAGATGATCTATACTGAAATTATGCAAAGATTCACCAAAACAAATAATGTAGGGATTCACATACAGTACAAGGAGGTGCTCAAGATCACCAATGGAATCAGGAATCTTGCCTGAGAAATTGTTGCCAGAGAGATCCCTGAAGAAATATAAACAAAGGAATACAATTTAAGACATTCAAATACTGTAATGTCGAGAAATAGTTCATCAATTCACAAACTTACAATGTATCAAGATTAATAATCCTCCCCAATTGATCAGGAATCTTGCCCTTGAAATCGTTGGATGAGAAATTCCTGTATGGTGGAAATCTTGTTAAAACTAGAAAACAATGTGCTAGCTTTGATTTGTGAGCAAAGTTTTTTTTTT